CACAGGCAGAGACTCTAACACTGAGCCACCCACCCCTTCATATTACTTATTAATAATTAATTGAGTAAACTGTACTATGTCATTCTAGTCAACTTTTCAGTAGAGCAGATTGAAATGTTGTTTAGATACTTTTTGTGCTCCATATTTATATGTACAAGTTGTGCTGTTTTCCACAGAATTTATCTAGTAGAGGATTATATTTTTGTAACAAATTTCACATTTCAATATAATTGTTTACAAGTTTAACTTTTAAACTAGGAGAGTGGGTAGATCAGTGATTAGAGTATGGATTTTTCATCTAATTTAATTACTTAAAAATAATTCTGATGCCTAGATAGGATTCTCCACTCCGACCATTCACTGTTAAGTTCTAATTATCGGTGCTGTTCCTGGAGTAGCGCTGAGAAAGCCTACACAGAAGACGCATATAATTAAAAATCAAACACAAACTGAAACTGACATATTAGGTATATACACGTAAGCCATAAAACGAACAAAAAAAACTTTTAAACTCTAAGTTTTCTTCTGGTTTGGAGCCACCTTTATTACTAACAATAATTGTATTGGGATCAGTTTTTTTCAGTTTTGTGATCTGATTTTCTTTCTTTCTTTCTTTCTTTTTTTCTTTCTTTCTTTCTTTATATTAAAATTGTATTTTTACTTTTTAAATAAAGTTAATGAGATAACTTATTTTGAAAATTTCCTTTTCTGCCTTTTTTTAGTTAGTTTTTGGCTACTACAATGTTTAACTGTTGGTTTAATTTCTTGATCGTAACAATACAATAAGTAAATCGTCTTCATAATCTTCTAAATTGGGGTTTAAAATTTCACTTACGTCATACATATTAATAATAAATTCAATATTTATAGCAACTGTAGGTAAGTTTTTAGGACCATCTAGGTTTTTATAGTCATTCGAAGTTCTTCTTGCATATTTATGTTTTTATCTCCCAATTTGATAATATTGTAGACATTCTTTTGAAAGACTACATTCGCAGTATTATGTTTTTTTCTCTTGTTTTGGGTCAAATATTTTTCCGGTACTATAAAACATTAGACAAAAACAATTCTCCAATTCTTGCCTGATCTAAATAAGTTAACATTATTACAATTGTTACAAACATATGGTTTATTATATAACGCAGTCAAACAAAAATCTACCTTTTACAAGAAAAATCCGGATAATAAAAAGTAAATAAAATGTTGATTTCGAGGCCTCGATAAAGATCTATTATATTTCAGAATAGCTACTTGTCAGAGGAGCCAGAATACGTTTTTTGCTTACTTTTACCTCATAATTTCTTTACTATTGAACTAACTTCGGTGAAATTTGGTTTTCAAGACATAATTTTTCACTCTCTTTTATTCTGTGAAGTTGAAAATGTAATATACGTGATAGAAATGAAAATATATCGGAATACATTTACGAACTTTTCCAGTCAATAATTCTTCTATAACTCAGTTTTCAAGTTGGATAATATATTTTTGTAAAATCACAAAATAAGATGCGATATTTTCATAATAAAACTATTAACTTTTGGTATAAGGAATGCCTAAGTTAAATTAAAGCATAATTAGGATACTTTTGAACGATGATATAAAATACAGGGAGAACCATTTAAAAAATTTGAGAAAATTATGTATTTGTGTTTTGACCCACCCTGTACAGATTTGATGCGAATTAAAAAAAGTAGTGTCTCCGGATAAAATTTGACCATGGTCAAAAAATTGTGGTAGAAAAAAAATTGGGTGTCAATTGTTTCTTTTGCATGATATAGGTCATTGAATTCAATACGATTTTCATACAAAACTGATTATATCCTGCAGCATACCCTGTATAAACCAATAATAATTTATATTTTTAGAATTGGAAAAGCGAGAGTAATTCAAATATATAATAAAATACAGGGTGATCCATTAAAAAGAATATAAGTTGGTTCCTGAGAGAAGTATATTGAAAAATAATTTTAAAATATGTAGTTTAACGCTGTCTACCGTTCTGTGAAAATATTTTTTTATATCTCTAATAATGGCGGAGATATTGGACTTTTTCACACTAATGGATCACTCTGTATAGAGGCGAAGTCTTGCTAAGCTAGGTACTCCACTTAACCTGTAAACAGTAAGTAGGTAGGTACCTACATTTTTTTACTTACAAAATAATATTTAGAAAACTTAAAAATTGATTTACAAAACTGATTTTATATATAACAATAGCAATTTAATAAAAAAATATTAAAAATGAATTCAAGAAATTGTAATACAACCAGAAGTATAAGGTAGTAATCATAATTGAATGCAATAATGACCTCATTAATTAGCTAATAAACTAAATTTTAAGCTAACAAATCTTTGAATGAGTGCAGTCCTTATTTTAAAGAATTCTTATTATTTTGATTAATCAAAAAATAGTATATTTAACAATTATTTTCAAAACGAACGTTTTAAAACGGAGCGAATGGTCAAAAATCGACCTCGTTATCCTTCTAAATCACCAAGCTAAATGCAAATCCGTTTACAAATTAAAACTTAAATCCCAACTCATTCCAACACAAATCTTTTAAAAAATGTTAACCGTTGCATGCACACGAACAATATCTCGCGTATCCTACTCCACCCCAAAAAAAACTACCCATATAAAAACGGGAACAAACCATATCAGTTATACACATTCTAATTCTCATTCCTATATTTATATCAAGGTGATCCCAAATCAACTCGAACTCGCACGATCGCGCCTGAGCACTAGAGGACCCGGCATTCGGTCACGTGACCGCAGCACAGTCGCAGTCTCTTAGAAGAACAGCTACACTAGTCGAAGTTGAAACCTAACGAGAAATTTTAGTATTCTCTCGGCTGTAACGGATTGAACTTGACTGTTTTAACACTCACCTGTGCAGAATAACACACGGAATTTGAATATTGACCGAAACAAATCAAAGAAATAGTGTTTTGATTAATACAGTGGTATTGACAGTGTTGTTACAATGCTAAAATATGTTGTTTGTGTCAGTAAAGATGATCGCGGGCGATTAAACACATAAACAGTTCACAAAACAAATAAATAAACAAACTTACTCGCTAAAAATTAGCAATGGTTAATCTAACCTAGTTTTATTTTAAAATGCTCACAAATGGAAGTGACTTTCAATTCTAACAGACCTAATAGCTTCATGACATAGTGTTTTTGAAATAAAAACTAATAGTAGTGACAAAATGGGTTTAAATCACGCATTAGGTGCTATTATAGCACTAACTAGCATTTTATGTTACTATAATAGTTGTTATTGTGGTTTCGTGTTTGACGACATCAGTGCTATTAAAGAGAATCGCGACTTACGGCCTTATTCACCTTTGATTAATATATTTTTCAATGATTTTTGGGGCACTCCGATGCACAAGGTAAGCACACGTGTCATTATTATATAGAAGCACCTGTTAGATCATATGAAAAATGGATGACATGAATAGGTAACACTATACAAAAGAACTTGATGGGTATATAAGAGACGATTATTACAATAACGGCTAAAAAATAACGGTACAAATAAACAATACAGATATAAAATTTTATGATTTAAAAATATGAAACATTCAATATACAGTAGCACAGTCAGAAAATGAATCTAGGAGTCCACCTTAATAATCGTTTTCAGCACAAGGACATACCCAGCGAGGGATAATAAGGGGTAGCTACCCCCTTCCCGTTGAAGCACAAAAATAAATAAAATGAAAAAAAAAACCAACAAAATAAAAGGAATATTGCCACCCCTCGTGGCCCAAGTTCAAGTTGTTCCACTAGTTATATCCTTGAGAGCCTCAATATACCTAATATACTTGGACTTAATATACTTAGGTCTATGTAGTTAGCACCAAAAATTTGAATTATTATAAAAAAGTAGTTGTCACCATGGTCAACCAAACATTTTCGTTTGTTTCGGGAAAATAGTTATGACAAAATTAAATATTTGATCTAAATTACTTAGACACCAGCACCGCCATACCTAAAAACTTTTCTTAATTTCAAAATGGCATTCGATTATTCATGATTTGTCAACGTTTGTTTAACCAAACGTTTCACTTGTCCACCCCCAAAACCAAGAAAAAAAATGGGCCTGGTCCTTGGGAACAACATGTTTGCCTCAAAAGAAATTAATTATAAAAAAATAAAGCGTCTAATTTAAACAGAAAAAACAATAAAAAAACCAAAAATAAGATATAAATAAATAAGTATCTATATTCTTCTATCAATCCAAAATAATTATGACAAAAATACTAAACAAAATTCGAGGGGCAAACCACCTGAGAAAAATTGTACACCATAATTCCACTTCCTTAAATAATTCCACCAGAATTTCACGTACTTCCAAGTACTTCCACTGGAATTCCACGTACTTCCACTGGAATTCCATGTACTTCCACTGGAATTCCCCGTACTTCCATATACTTCCACTGGAATCCCACTTACTTATACTGGAATTCCAGGTACTCCCACTGGAATTCCACGTACTTCCACTGGAATTCCACATACTTCCACTAAATTTAATTCCATGGAATTCCATTATCATGCACAGTAAAACTCCAAGTACCCGCTATTTACCACTTTAAAAAATGAAATAAAAGTAAGTATGTTTTACTTATAAGGTTGTAAGTTTTATGGATTTTGTGTACATATCAATATTACTATTTCATAAGAAGATTCTGCACATGTGCTGACTCATTATACATTTATAATTTAGTTTATTGTTTGAAATCTTTTGATGTTAATATGTCCTGGTTACCAATAAATAATTATAGTCTATACCTACTCAATATATGTTATTAGTGATAATTCGGGGATTTTAATTTTTTTGGGGACTGACCATGATATTAAATGGCGATAGTATAATAATCTATATAGGGGGTGCAGATAAAAAAATCGGCAAGTTTTTTGTGGCCATTCAAGAAAGTACATTTTTCCAGGGCGGTATGAAAAATTCCAAAATATTTTTTATGCTCACCCAGCTCAATTAAATTTGGTATAACTTCCCTTGAAAATTTTTCTACATTTTCAACGTCTTCGTCAGTCATTTCCGTAATTAAGCGCAGTGAAGTATATCCATTTATTGCTAGGATATTTTTCAACTCTTTTGGTATTTTTACTTTTAAAGCCTTTTCAGCTTCAGAGAACTCGTTGGCATTTTGCTCTGATATATCCATGTTGGCCCTGAATAATATTAAAAAAAAAACAAATTTAGCCTACTTGTTATGGAATATACAGCCCATTTTACGACTATCAACCAATCTTCTCTTTAGGTAAATTTTTTATTTCTCTTCATGATTTCATTGTTTATCTTTCTAATTATTATTATTTGCACATGTTTATTTTAGCCAAACAAATCATTTTACTAAATATACAGTGAGCATCATAAGTCTTACCCCCCCCCCCCTAACTAACTCGTTATTGGGGTCTTGTTAGGAAAATCGCCTAGACAGGTCGATTTTTGATTTCTACAATGTACATTTTTGCATAATTAGTTTACCCTTTATTTCATCCCTTACTGGAGGGTAGCAACCCTTTCGAAAAATTTAAATGGCATAAGGTGGTGAGTGATAGCTCATTTGAAAGGGGGTTTTATTCTCTATTCAACCGTGCAAAAAATTTTGAAATTTGCTTCATTACATGTTGATTTATTAATGTTTAAAAATAACAAAACCTCACAAAATAGGAAAGCAACTAGACTAACTGACTTTCTAATGGCAAAAAGTCTTACTTCACGTCTGAACCAAAACCGAAATCATGCAGGGCCGAATTTTAATTCTAAGAATGAGTGCGCTACGTTAATTTCCGTTATTCTGAAACAACAATTAGTCGAGAATTAATGAAGCAAATTTAAAATTTTTTTACACGGTTGAATAGAGAATAAAACCCTCTTTCAAATGAGCTATCACTCACCACCCCATGCCATTTAAATTTTTCGAAAGGGCTGCTCCCCTCCAGTAAGGGATGAAATTAAGGGTAAACTATTCATACAAAAATGTACATTGTAGAAATCAAAAATCGACGTGTCTCGGCGATTTTCCTAACAAGACTCCAGTAACGAGTTAGATAGGGGGGTAAGACTTATGGTGCTCACTGTATAATAGTTATAATCGCTTGAGTAGGTTTTTAGTTTTATATGTGGAAAAAACAGTTTTTCTTGTTTTTCTCAAAAACCAGTCGAGCGTTTTTGATTTAAATTTGGGAAGATACTAGCCAAGATCTCATATATAAGTACTTATGATTTTTTGAAAATTTTTGAATTTGTAGTTAATTTTTCCGGAGGTTCACTTAGGTAAACCTTGGGAAATACCTAACCTTTTGCCGTTTTAATAATAAACATTTATCAATATTATTATTATTATCAGTTGTACAAACGATTACTATATCAAAATTTAGTTTTAATGCTTATAATGCGTATTCCAAAAAGTAAAGAACACACATTTTAAAAACTTTTAGACGTTTTGTGAGTTACTTTAGAAAGATGACTTCAAGTTTTAATTTTTCTATCTTTTACCCACCCTATAACTAAATTCCAAACTGGTATATATTTCCAAAATTAAACGGAAGTTAGAGGGCAATTTCTTGTATATTATACTCTAGCAGCTGTCAAAAATTGTAAATATTTATTTCTTTGACAAAACAGCTGAGGGTGAAAAAGAGAAAAAGGAAAATATATATTTCAGTTAATTTAATATGAATTGTATATACGAGTAGTAGCATATCGTACCTGATATAAATAATATTTAAGCGTGTTTGATAATCAAATGTGCTTCCATTTTGATCTCTTTTACACATTAATATTATTTTAATATTTTGCAAAAAGAATTATCGCCAAAAAGCTTTTGTTCATAGGTTATATCTCAAATATTTAAAATATGTCTCGATTATAAAAATTATTGGAGAGAAATTCAATGCATTAATACGAAAATGTTCTTTGAGCAATTCTATCCGATTAAATTTAATTGATTTTCTCGAACAGATCGTTAACTCAAAAACCAATCGGATAAAGAAATTATATTAAAAATTGAGGGCTTTATATCGTTAGCGATATAAGAAGAAGGATATGATGAAAGAAAAGAATGAAAAAATTATTCAATTATTGATGTCGCGATTCTTGAAATTTTAACAAAATATTCGAGAAATCTATACCTATATTTTCTTTTACCTGATTTGAAATGATTTTTTATTTGGTTGAAAACAAGGAAACGTTAAAAAAACAATTTTTTCATTGAAAAATTAAAATATTTTGTATGTCATAAAGTTACAAATGTATTTTAATAAAAAAGTTTTATGATATATGAAGGATTTTAATAACTCACCTGACTGCAGAGAGTGTTTTTTACTTGCTATTTGTAGTTGGGAACATTGTGTAACCTGTCAAATTCTTATCGATGCAGTTTTTCGTTTTTACTGGCAATTAAATAATTTGCTAGTTTTGCTATTTTCCATGTAAGTGTAGAAATTTTCCTAAATTGATAGTAGAAAAATCGAACGACAGAAAATGCTTGTAAATTGATTTTTTTTTATTATTATATACGTCTAGAAGAAAATTATTTCATGGCCAGCAAAAAACATGATAATCCATTGATAAGAAATATTTTAAAACTGACAGATTACATGACATCTTCCACCACCAAGTACATGTCGTACGACATGACACTTTATTCATAAGACTTTTGCAAATTTTGATTCTACCAATCTTGCAATGAGTTTCAAAATAAATAAATAAAAAACAAAAATATAAAATAAATTTAGTTTTACTTTATTTGTCATAAATTTTTATAAAACAAATCTTTAAAAAAATTAATAAACTTACCTAAACATTGTATATAATAGGATGACATTTTTAATATGTACTACAAAATTTATCAAAAATTAAATGAAGTAATTAATTTCCAAACATTTACATTTTTTTTTTTTATAAAATATATCTGCTAACTACTATATAAGCGAACAAAATTTCAATTAAAAACTAGACACGAACTCAATATACTGTAGCTGACGTGTTTTTCTCAGTTGTGTAGCATTATATTTTTACAATGACGTTTTAACAAGCTATGCGTAAATACCCGAGTAAATACCTACCGACCCAAATAAGTGTTTAAAACGGATCGCCATTTTTTATATCTTTTTGTAATTTCATTTATATGAACAGTAATATTCAGCTACTACCTTCTTTCTTTCTTTCTCCTCTTTCCATTCTCATAATATGTTTGCTGATTTTTATCACCAGTTATTTATTTTAAGAGTTTTAAAATCTTTGTATGCCTTTTAGGAACTTTTTTAATTGTTATTATCTTTATTTTTTAACATTTTTAGAATCCTGTCACTAATTAGTTATGCTAAGTGACTCTCTTAGAGATAAGAAAGTCTTTATTATGACAATCAGGCACTGAAAAGAGTATAAGTACAATTCAAATTAATATTGGCCAGCCAACAGTTCATTTAGGTTCTGACAGATAATGACTAGATCAATCGTGAATGTGTGTCAGGATGAGTGAATTTTGGGGGAAAAGCGCTCTCTAGTCAGAAAGAAAGCTAAGAAAACTCTAATTGGACCATAACCCGTATGTGGTGTTTCATATCAACATGTTAGAGGTGCTTCCTGGAATTAGACAATCTAGAATTGCCATAGCGGGTCCATCCAAGAGCAGACAAAATCAACGGCTAAACCTTAGCAGGAACGAACTAAAAACACAGGAAACTGAAGCCTTAGAAGACACCTGAATCTCTAAGGGATATCCGAAGGGATATCCGGTGACTCCCTATGAAAAAATGTGAAGAGTAGAACGAAAGGTCTATTCACAAACTATGCCATTAGCGAAACCTTTAATGAGATCAGGAACAATATCTGGAACCTGAAGAAATCTCCAAAGAGCCCGTCAGACATATTCTTGAATTCATCAAGAATATTTTAATATATTTGTAATTTTGCTTGTTTTAGTATATTTAAGATATGTATCCATAGATCAAAAAGCAACTGGTAATACAAAGCTTTGCATCAAGGATCAGTCTTGAGTTAATTTTGTTTCCCTTTGGTAGGTATTCTATGGAAAACATATAAGAAGAAAACCTTTTGAGTTGTATGTTTACAGATGATGTGGTGTTAGTGAAGAATGCTACAAAATACTTAAAGAATATGGTTGGTTAGTGGAGGTAGGAATTCGAAACGAATTATTAGTAACGAGTAAACATAATTTAAAAGAATAAACAGTTGATGGAAATAACATAAGAACAGGGAAATTATTATCAAGAGAAACTAATAAAATATTAGATGGTATAATTGAATAAAGCAAAATATTTTAATTTCTGTTTATACTGTACTATCTTTGTTATTTTTTTTTTATTTAGTCCAACCAGATGTATATGTATAGATCAAATGTCCTTACTGCTTTCAGCTATCTTGTACCCTTAGTTGCTCGTTTAATACATTTGTCATAAACTTTTTTAAATTACTGTTATCTAATAAAAGTCCATTTGTTTTTTTTCTCACTCGTATTTATTTATTGGTTATATAAATATTAATATTCTTGAAACAGATGATAACTATTGAATATTTAAATATTCTTAATTAATTCGGTTATATCTCTACAATTAACGAACCTACCAGACTTTAATATTGCTTAAACTTTATTTTTAATAAATAAAGTACAATCAAAGAAGTAAAAAATTAAAATGGAGATGTACTTACTAATTCTGTAGAAATCATACATATCAAATAAAATTTATCTCATTTATAGAGAAAAATTAAGAAAATAAAAATTAGTACCTTCTATGAGGGTTCAGAAGCCAATCAGTGTAAGTTATACTTTTCAAGTTATTTATTTAAAGTTATTTTTAAAACTATTTAAGTAAATTTAGATTTTTTATATTTTCAAGAAAATTTTCTTGCATCACTTTTCAATAAAAAGTTCTTATAAAGCTTTTATAATCATTTTTTGTATTTATTTGTGTTACACTAAAGTTTCATTTATGTTTTACACTGTTTGGCTTCTGAACCCTCCTATTAATAATATACTATATACGACGGTTACCTCTTAAACTTTTGCAAAAACAATAAAAGAATAGTTCAGTATATTTTTTCTACAACCCACTAACGAAAATCTACAAATTTAAAAAAATTATTTTAGGTTATTAAGACAAAATAACTAATTTTAAAATAATTTATGACTTTTAT